TGTCTCCCAGGTAGGCGGCGAGAGGCAGGATGCCATTGACCACATCCTCGCCGGTATATCCGCACTGTCCCACGAAGTCGCCGATGCTTCGGATTACGTGCCTTCGTATGACCAGCGCTCCTACGCCCAGGTAAGTCCTCTTCCTTCACCCATTCCTACGACGCCATGTAGATTCTAACACACCCGTAGGCCGTGAAAGCTCTCACAGACAAGCTAAACGAAACAACCACCAAACTCGCCCCCCGCTCCCGCTTCCAGTTCAAGTCCCGTGGCAACGCCGCAGCGACCAGCGACCTCTCCGCGCCCAAGAACGACCCGCGCCTCGTCGTCGGCGCAAGCCTCGCCGATCCCCTCCCCGCCTCCCGCGGCGGGCCCGTCATGGCCCCCGAGTCACGGGCTGCCGCCGCCGAGACCGACGACAGCCTCGGCGAGCTGCCCTCCTTCCCGCACAAGAACTACAACGAGGAGATGGCGCGCCCGAGCACGACCAAGGTCCGCAAGCCAAGCTTCTCCACGGCCAAGGAAATCGCCATCTACGGGCAGGACGGGCTGCACATCATCCTGCCGTCGTCGGCGTCGCGGGCGACCTCATCGGGCCGGCTGACGGAACTGCGCGGGTGCATCGTCGACATGTCCCTCGCGCTGTCCGGTACGACGTCGTTTGCGAACCTGGCGCTGCGGGATGTCGAGGGCAGCCTGGTGGTGGCGGGCAACGTGGCGGGGCCGGCGCACATTACCGGGGTGAAGGACAGTATTGTGGTGGTGTCGGCGCGGCAGGTGCGGATCCATGAGTGTAGGAACGTGGATATCTATCTGCACTGCTCGAGTCATCCGATTATTGAGGATTGCGAGAACATGCGATTTGCGCCGCTGCCGGCGGCTTATGTGAGTTTCGCAGGCTCAGGAGCGTTGAATGTGACATGCTGACGTTTTTGTAGGATACCCCTGAAGACCAGGTCAAGAACCAGTGGGATCAGGTCGACGACTTCAAGTGGCTCAAGTCGGAGCCGAGCCCGAACTGGAGCTTGTTGCCTGAGGAAGAGAGACTGGCTGAAGAGATTTGGACGAAGACGGTGCCGGGAGAGAGAGGCAAGGATTTGCATGATATACTGAAGGCTGTTGGTATACCGAAGCATTGAGTTGCTCGCAGATCCCTGAGTGTTTGGAATCCTAGTCGATTGGTTTGGTCTGGACGGGAGTTTGTTGGGCGAGGTTTTGCACGGGCGCAAGGAATAGCGTCTTCTGTCCATTGTTCAAGTATCGTCCAAGTCGCATTTCGGGTATCATATGAGCAATCTGGTAAAAAAATCAAACGTAATTCCTGCCGCAGCACCCTTCATCGCTGATGTGAAGCTGCTCAATCGTCGCGCCTGTGCCGTCTCCCATTCTCCTGCCATAAACCAACATCCATCCATTACTCCGTCTCCATCTTATCACCGCCTCCGCCCTCGTCGTGCCCAAACTTGACACCCGCTTCCCTCAGCCGGTCCAGCACCTCACGCTGCATCGTGATGCGCTCCTCGAGCTCCTTGATCTCGTCCTCCTGCTCGGCGGTGGTGCGCTCCATGTCGGGCAGCGCGCGCATCTGCACGCGGGCGCGCTGCAGCTTGTGCTTCAGGGCGTCGGTCTGGGCGGGCACGTCCTTGAGGGAGAGCGGCGTGTTCGGGCTGGCGCCGAGGGTGTTTGGCGTCGCGCCGGGGCCGGAGGCGGCCGGGGTCGCGCCCGTGATGCCACCCGCGGCGCCGGAGGTCTGGATGGCGGTGCGCAGGCGGGTGAGGATGCCCGTGAGCTCGGTGAGGGTGTCGAGGGCGTCGGGGGAGAGGGTTGATGGCAGCTCGAGCGGGTGGGGAGGCATCTTGATGGTTCTGGTGCCCGGGGAGGCAAGCGCGTGGAGGTTGGTAGGTTGAGGTTATGAGGGTTACCTGTGAAGGTAGGAGGAGAGTCGGAGCTTCAGCCTCGGGGCGTGTGCGTAATTGCCGTGGTGTCGTTGGTCGAGGTTGACGAGGCGTCAAAGTCAATTGCAGGTGAAGGTGCAGGTGCAGTCGCAGTTCCGGGCTGGGCAAAGTGTCGAGAGTGGCAGGGGCAAGCTCCGCCGAGACAGTTGCGGTGCGGGAGCTACCACGGGCGTTTTAGCGCGTCGCCGATTGGCAGCTAAAAATTGTTGAAAGTCAACAGAGGGGCAGCTTCCATCAGCCCACACTGTTTATGATAGAGACAGCACTGTGTTTTACCCAGTAAACGAGGATAAGTGGACAGTGCTAATAAGAATCACGCCGACACGGGTCTATTATCGGCGATACTATGACATAAACCCCCACCAAACACTGACACCGATAAAACAGAACAGCAGACACTGGACCGACCGGAGCTGCTGGGCAGGCAGGTCCCGACTGACTGTGTGCAAGGTGCATTGGCTGGGCCGATTCAATCAAGTCTTGTCTCCTCAACCTCACCACCACCGCGGCCGAGAAAAAAAATAAAAAATCACGCAACCCTCTGCACCTTTTCTGTTTCCTTTCCTCCTACATACCCATCCTGTAAAGACATCGAAGCATAGAATATACATACACCATGGCCAAGACCGACCAGAAGGCCTGCCTGAGTACGTCCAAAGATCTCCCTCCCAACCCTCCATGCCCCTCCTTGCGACCCCGCGGTGGTGCTGGTGATGGCAGTCGCGTTGTTGGTGGTGTCGATGGTGGTGGTGGCGGTGGTGTGAGCCTCGAAGCTGGTCGCAAAGCCCAGAACCAAGCCAACCAGCAATCTGAAGAGGCACCTCCCCCTCCTCCCAAGCCCTCAAATCTTCTCAAGCCCAAACCCAAGCACAATTCCCCCGACTACGTCCTCACCCTCGCCTACATCGTCCTGTACCTCGAGGTCGGCTGGCTAATCTTGTGGATCTTGCGCTCCTACAGTCGTGATTGATGGCTGGGGTGTTCCCGGCGCCGACTCCCCCAAGGATGGCGACGCCATCACCAACGCAAACACCCCCGTCATGGACGACTTCGCCAAGAGCAGCACCGGCTACTGCGAGCTCGACGCCTCCTCCCTTGCCGTCGGTCTGCCCGAGGGTCTGATGGGCAACTCTGAGGTCGGACACTTGAACATTGGCGCTGGCCGTGTCGTCTGGCAGGACGTCGTCCGCATCGACCAGACCATCAAGAACGGCGAGCTCCCCAACAACGCTGTTATCAAGAAGACCTTCGAGAGCGCCAAGAACGGCAACGGCAGACTGCACCTGTGCGGTCTCGTCTCTCACGGTGGTGTTGTAAGTCGCACCGAACAATATCACCCCACTCATATGACAATGTCACTGACGTCTGATTTCCCAAACAGCACTCCAAGCAGGAGCACCTCTACAACCTCCTCAAGGCTGCCAAGCAGTATGGCGTTCCCGAGGTCTACATCCACTTCTTCGGTGACGGCCGCGACACCGACCCCAAGTCTGGCGCCGGCTACATGGAGGAGCTTGTCAAGACCGCAAGGGAGATTGGCATCGGCAAGATCGCCACCGTTGTTGGCCGCTACTACGCCATGGACCGTGACAAGAGATGGGAGCGTGTCGAGCTCGCCCTCAAGGGCATGATCCTCGGCGAGGGCGAGGAGAGCACCGACCCCGTCGCAACCGTCAAGGAGCGCTACGTCCGCGGCGGTGACAAGGACAAGGACGAGTTCCTGACCCCCATCATCGTCGGTGGCCAGGAAGGCCGCATCAAGGACGACGACACCGTCTTCTTCTTCAACTACCGCTCCGACCGTGTCCGCCAGATCACCCAGCTCCTCGGCGACGTCGACCGCTCCGTCCTCCCCGACTTCCCCTACCCCAAGATCAACAAGCTGGTCACCATGACTCAGTACAAGACCGACTACCCCTTCGAGATCGCCTTCGAGCCCCAGCGCATGGGCAACGTCCTCGCCGAGTGGCTCGGCAAGCAACAGGTTGAGCAGGTCCACATCGCCGAGACGGAGAAGTACGCCCACGTCACCTTCTTCTTCAACGGTGGTGTCGAGAAGGTCTTCGCCCTCGAGACCCGTGACGAGAAGCAGGATCTCGTCCCCTCCAACAAGTCCGTCGCCACCTACGACAAGGCCCCCGAGATGTCCGCCGACGGTGTCGCCAACCAGGTCGCCAAGCGTCTCGGCGAGCAGAAGTTCCCCTTCGTCATGAACAACTTCGCGCCCCCCGACATGGTCGGCCACACGGGCGTATACGAGGCCGCCATCGTCGGTGTCGAGGCCACCGACAAGGCCATCGGCAAGATCTACGAGGCCTGCAAGAAGGAGGGCTACATCCTCTTCATCACCGCCGACCACGGCAACGCTGAGGAGATGAAGTTCGCCGACGGCAAGCCCAAGACGTCGCACACCACCAACAAGGTCCCCTTCATCATGGCCAACGCCCCCGAGGGCTGGAGCCTCAAGAAGGAGGGCGGTGTCCTCGGTGACGTCGCTCCTACTGTCCTCGCCGCCATGGGCCTGCCCCAGCCCGAGGAGATGACTGGCGCGAACTTGCTGACCAAGGCATAAATTTGCGTGTTTGGCTGTGAATAGGGTGCGGAGTTGTGGGTGCTGTTTTCGGGGAGCGGGTTTATGGGAAAAGTTGAGCGTGTGGCGTGAGTTGAACACCTAGGTTATGACGAGTAATAGACCTATAGAGAATGAGAGCACGCTTTGATGACAAGTCTAGAACTCCCCATGTTTCGACCATTTTATACTCTTGGCCGTTTTCTTGATTTGCCGAGATGACTCCTCAACATGGCAGACAACACTGCCGCAGCTGACCGGGCTGTGTTATGCAAGGCAACTGTATACGGAGCACCTTCTTCATGATTGGCCATTGCCTGCTAGCAGATCTTCAAACACATCGCATTACTGCCCTTTTCTCCTTCGCAGCCTGATTTTCCAATTTGCATCTCACACCCTCGCTCTCATTCTTATCCAAGGTCGTATACGGACGTCAATCGAATTTGCGTTTGCTTTGCTAAACTTCACATCTCAGCATGGCAGACCCATTGAGCATCGCATCCTCCATCGTCGGCATTCTCTCTGCTGCGGGAAAGGTGATCGAGATTCTGGGGCCGTACATATCGGCGGCCAAAGACACACCCAGGATCGCCGTGTCGGTCCATACGGAGGTAGTTAACTCCCGCATCATCTTGTCGGCACTGCACAGTCTGCTGGACAACCTCGGCGCCGCGTCCAGAAATCGATCTCTATTGGTCTCGATCGACGATCTGATTGCAGTTTTCACTAATGGCGTCTTCATTTTCTCCGAACTTGAGGGATCCGTTTCTCCAATGGGCTTCAGCAGCACAGACCGTATCAGGGCGCGAATGCAGTGGGCTCGCAAGGAGAGTGAGCTCTCAGGGATTCTCACTCGACTACAAGCGTTTAAGAACACGACGCTATTGCTCCTCAATATTCTTCAATGGTGAGCCGACAAAGACACCCGAATTCCTGGTCACTGACTTGCTTATGTAGCGACTCCGATCGCCGGGCTGCGAGAACACAGGATGAACTTGCAACCAAAGTCTTGAACCTGCTGCAAAACGACGATCTCTCTCGTCGGCTTGAGAGCTTAGAAGACACATTTGATGCCCTGAGCAGGATCGAACCACGAAACCCCGAGGAAGCCCAAAGGAGAGCGGTGGATTTGTCAAAGGAGTGTTCAGAAGGTCAGTCTTTGTGCTTATTGAGCACCAAGAAAGCAGAATCTGTCGATGGCGCTCCCTACGAATCTTCCAACTCTCCGGAACCGCCATTTACTATGCCGAAGTTTGAGTTCCAAGCTGCACTCGACGAGTCTATGCCGTACCGACGAGCCAAGGAAGACACCGTTGACAATTCTGTCAAAGAATCTGTTGCAGCTTCAAACGCGTGGTCCATATTTTCCGGTATTAGCTTGTCTGATGTGTCTATCCTCTCTCACATTGCTATTCCAGTGTACCCTGCGGACATATTCAATGCACATCATTACGAATTCATGGAACCAAAGGCCTCCAAAGTCTACACGACCAGACGCCCTAGCGAGGCCACAATAGGCAAGTGGGCTAAGTCTGTGAGGCGGGTTGCACGACCACGACAGCTTCGATTCGACGTACTCTTCGAAGTTCCCGTCATCTTCCTCTGTCGACCCGAGAACCACAAAGGATCATTGGCAAATACACCCATAATCTTTATCGACGGGTCACCTGATAGTCTTGAGGGCACCATGTCCGACCTGCCATCCGTAGCCAATCCTCCCCATCGCGATAGAGAGGTGCTCTGAGTGCAGAAAGGGGCCGCCCGCACGGCAGACGTGCGAATCGCTAGCTACATTACTCTATTATCGGCTCTTCAGAAATTAGAGAAAGACTCCCGATTCTAGGAGAAAAATGAGCTGAAGAAGTGGCTTTCTTCGTTAACTACAGCAGATAGGCTTCAAATTACCTATACTATAGATACTTATAGGTAGCTATATAAATAGGTTAGGTTATAAGTAGACCTAGGCTATAGGTAGATAGGTTTACTAGGTATATAGGTAAATATAAATATAGATATAAGTAGAGATTCTACTTATACTTATAGGGTTATAAGTAACATTATACCTCCTAAAGTTATAATATATTATAATAACTATTATAATAATCTTATATAAAATTTTATTTTAGTAGTATAGGTTTATAAATAGAAGTTTAATTACTATATATTTTTAAAATATATTATATATAGTCTCTATTATTTAGTTTTATATTTTTATTACTAAATTCTTTAGACTCTTAATCTAACTAAGCTATTTCTTACTTTATAGTTCTAAAGCTACTATTTCCTACTTATATTATTTAATACCTAGGGATTCTTTACTCTAAATCTATATTATTTAGCTATATATCTAATAGCTTCTTATACTTATTATTATTCTCCTATATTATCTTAAAAGAACCTTCTTATTTAATACTAAAAATACTATTACTATTTCCTTTATTAGAAAGTTCCTTAGCTATAAAACTATTTTCTATATTTCTATTAGTTATATTACTACTACTAAAGATTTCCTATAGAGTATAACCTCTACTAAAAAAGGTCTAAATCTTATTATAAAGGCTAATATTCTACTTATCTCTATTACTTTACTTTTTATTCTAATAGTTATTAATTACTTTAGATATATTACTATTATTAAGTAATTCTTAGTTATTATTAGTATAACTAATTTTCTCTTTATCTATATTACTTAGCTTTTTATTCTCTTAATCTTTATTCCTTTAGACTTTATTCCCTTAAGCTTTATTCTTTTAAGTTTTATTTCCTTAGGTTTTATTTCCTTAAACTTTATTCCTTTAAGCTTTATTCTTTTAGGCTTTATTCCCTTAAACTTTATTCTATTAGTTATTAGTTCCTTCTAGAGTATTAATATTATTTTTAGTTTAAGGAGTAGTATTTCTATTTATAATAATTTTAGAAGAAATAATTATATTAGTAATATTAAGGCTATTTTAAGTATCTTAGTAGGTATTAAGAGATAGTAATTAAAGTTAGCTAAGATACTCTAATATAGTAATATCTAAGAGTATATCTAATTTATAGTTACTTAGAATAAAGATATTATCTTTTTAATTAACTTTAGTTCTCTTCTTTACTTTAAGTATACTTATAGACCTCTTTTACTTTATAAAAGTCTTTTTAATAGTAATACCCTTCTTAGTTTTAAGAATAGCTTTATTATTCTTAAGCTTATATTAAATAGTTAAATTTAGTTTTAAAGTTATATATAGATAATTCTAAAACTAAGTTTTATTAATAGCTCTCTAATAATAGTTAATATATATAATATATTTTAAAATAATATAAGTAAAGTAAAATAATAAAATAGAAATAAAATAAAATACTTTCTTATATACTACTTAACTATAAAATACTTATTCCTTAAAATAATATATAAATCTTCTTAACTAAAGTAAGATCTTTAGTATTAATAATAACTTAATAAGTATAAATAGCTACTTATATATATACTAAAAAATATTAGTAAAGAATTTAAAAAAGGAAATAAAAATATACTATTAAATATAAAAACTAAGAAAGTTTTAGAATTCTCTTATAATACTTTAAGAGTAGAAGCTTAAATATAGTTAAGCGTAATAGAGTAAACTTTATAGTATTTAAGTATAATCTCCCTAATAAGATTCTTAAAGGATATCTTTAGAATTAAAAGCTTATATAAAGCTTAAATATAGTATATTTCCTAAAGAGTATAGTCTTTAAAATATTAGTATTATAATAATTTTTAAGAATTATAATAATTTAACTTATATTTAAGCTTATACTTATAAGTTAATACCTACTATCTAACTATATAAAATAGCTTTTTTATAATAGTCTTATAGGTAGTCTTAAGAGTAATCTTATTAGTAGTCTTATTAGTAGTCTTACTAATAGTCTTACTAGTAGTTTTAAGAGTAGTCTTATAGGTAGTCTACTTAAGTATATTTCTAGCGCTACTTATACTACTACTATATTAATATATAGGTATTATAGATTTATATCTATAAGAAATTAGCTTTTAAGAAAGGATAAAGATATTAAAATAAAAATATTTATATAAATAGAAGAATAAACTATATAAAGTTATAATAATAATATATTTATAGAGAGAAGAAAAAAAATAACTTTAGTTAGTTAGTAAATTTAAAAAGAGGAGTTATATATACTAACTATATTATATCTAAGATTTAGTAGGTATAATATACCTTTATTATTATAGTAATAGTAACCCTTACCTTAAAATAATTATATAACTTATATAAGTAGTCTATATAGCTATATTATAGAAATTTTAAATCTACCCTAATAGAATTAATCTTACCTCTTATAACTAATAAAATAAAACTATTATAAGTATAATTTTAAATATCTTAAATTATTTATACTAAATCTCTCTAATCTATCTATTAAGGTATACCTATAGATATATCCCTACTACTATATATTTATAGTTTATACCTATAAAGTTATTATAATAATCTATAGTATTATTATAATAATTATTTCTATAAATTACCTTATTAGCTCTAATATAAGAGAGAAGTAGAAAGCTATAAGGGATTATTTTATTAATCCTTATACTATAAAGGTATAGAAGTATATTAATAATATAACTAATATTAAGGCTAAGTTTTATTAGCTAAAATAGTAGCTAAATATTAAAATAATATATACAAAGAAAATAATAATCTAAGAGTATTTAGATTAGAATTCCCTAAATAAGGCGTAGTAAAATACTATAATTAAAGAAATAAAAATATAAGTATACTAAAATATATAAGTTATATTTTTAAAAGGTTTAGAAATTTACTAATAAGAATTTAAAATAAATAGAGGATATTACTTATCTTAATTTAATCCTTATTTTATTTTACTTATTCTAATTATATTACTACTACTTATATATTTAGCTACTAATATAGTAAAAAATATACTAAAAAAGTATAAATAACTTATTTTAAAACTTAAACCTATAATATAGCTATCCTTAAATAATCCTTAATAAGTATTATAAGAACCTAACTACTACTTCTATAATTCTTTAATTAGTCTATTTATATTTAACGTTTAAGTATAGAGAACTTACTAATACTATATTTAAGTTTAAGATATCTTTAAAAATAATTATAGTTTAAATTAAGAAGATATTCCTCTATATAAACTAATTAAGTTTAAATAAGATCTCTTAATTAAGATTATAATTAATTTAAATTTTAAAAATAAAAATAGAAGTAGATAAGAGGTAGAAAATAAATAACTTTAATATAAAATAAAAGTTATCCTTAAAGTTATTAAGTATATAAGTTTTTCTAAATATTACTAAGGAGTTTTTATTTATTCTTTCTTAATAAACTATTATTATTAGATATTAATAATTCTATATAGTATAGCTTATAACTTTAGATTTACTTTAACTAAAGCTATTATATTTCTATTAGTTCCCTTAAGAAATAGAGAAGATTTTTAAAGATATTAGTATTATAAGAATAAGAGAAAGATTCCCTTAAACTTAAGACTTCCTTATATTTAAAGAAATTTTCTTTATATTAGTTCTTTAGAAATTCTCTTCCCTAAAATTTATAAAAGAGAAAAAGAGAGTCCTTTAAAAAGTAAATAGTATATAGAAATAGAAGTAGTAAATAATATTAAAAAGATTTCTTATATAATAAAGTCTAATAAAATAATTTAAATTAATAGAACTTAAGAATAAAATATACCTAAGTTCTTAAAGGTTATCTCTTAATAAACTATATATATAGTTACTAATTCTCTTTTTATAGACTAATAAGAAAGTAAATCTAAGATATTATTAGTAATATTATAGTAAGTATTAATAAGAACTAAATTAAACTTTTAAGTCTTATTAAAATATAAGAGAATATAAATAAGGTATTAATAACTAATATAGAGGTTATTAATATAATTTAATATATCTATAAGTTAAAACTAGCTCTAATTCCTATTTAGCTTAAAATACTAAATTAAGTGAAATTATACCTAAGGGAATAGTAATAGTTTAATAATAAGATAATATTTTATAT